CACTTTCCCCCTCCCCACTTTCCCCCTCTACACTTTCCCCAGGATAGGATGCTAGTCCATCGCAAAATTATCCCCCAGGCAAATCGTTAGCTTTCACTGACACTTCGTCTCTACCCATTTTATAATCCTGGGTGGAGAGAGGCACTGTGAGAGTAAAGTGTTTCGCCCAAGAACATATCTTAAGGACCCGGCCGCGACTCGAGCTCAGACCTCTCTGCGCGGAGTCTGGCGCATTAGGAGCTACCGCAACTCCATGAATGATACCATGTGGTAGTTAGATAGAGACTTTTTACCATTCATACCTGGATCAGAGTGATATGTCGTCGGGCTACCAGAGAAATCACTTTTCCCATTCAGACGCAACGAGAGTCGCTTTTTATACGCGCCACTCAAATCCTTTTCTTCGTCCGTCGTGGGACTATGTATTATAATATTCGGGATGTTTGGTTCACTGTTCGATTTCGGAAAGCGATCAAGGTTTCTAATGCGTTGGAAATCCTTTCGAGATGGCCTTGAAAGTTCCAGCCCTTCTATCTGGGCTTGAGCTGGGAATTTGCTACTTGACTCTGTTTTTTCTTCCCTATTAGAAGTCTTCCAATCCCTTTGAGATCGTTTTAGCATATCTGGCGTTGACTGATAACCGTAATCGCCTTGTAACCCTTTTCCTTCACCAACAATACTATTTCGTTTCGCTGAACTGTTTGCAGATCTTTGGAGATTGGATTCGCTTAGAACTTTCCGTAAGGGTCTTGGTGACGTGGCTGCGTCTGTTGAAACAGGCGAGCGCTCTTTGACGTCACGAGTTGGTTGTTTTTGTGGAGAAATCTTTGATCTTTTGACCTTGATATCTACCATGACTTCTATATCCGACATCCATGGCCAATAAACATTTTGCAAACACCATAAGCTATTCACCAGGAGTGGAAGCGATACATTAACCCGCATCACCGCAAGTGACTCGGTGCCACCGAGAGCACTGCGATTGAAGTTACTCGAAGGTAAAGATGAACCTTCCATTGACCACCGACTTAGCCAGGTTAGACTAGGAAGTAGCTCAAGTAGCTGATTCCCGAGAGTCCTAATCCCAGGTAGGAAGCCCAAGCTGGCTACATCATTTAAGCTACTGCTTCGTTTTATCTCCGTTCCCGACCCCATAGTTGAGGATGTAGCCACTGGTATAGGCCTGGAGGAACGCACATCTGTAAAGCTTTGGCTTCTGAAAATACTAGAGGGTCCCTCAATTGGCCTGGTTGGGGTATTGCTGTGTGTCTTCTGTTGCAGCATCGAAAGTGACTTGGTATCTGAGACTAACAGCTGTTTGTTGTACGAGGGCAGAAGAGGCACGGGATGTGATCCCTTACTGTGATAGGTCATCACAGTTTTGGATACGGTTATCAAGAAAAAAGTGTCCAGAAACTGAAAATAAGATGGCTGCGTCTCAAACAACGTCGTTCCAACTGTCAAACCTCCACCACCATGCATCATGACTTCTGCTTCATCATCAGCTGATTTGTTCCCAGAAGTCTCCTTAAGGTCGAAAAACTGATCGCACACTTTGCCGAAAAGTTTTTCTCTTTCATTCATTTCTTCTTCCCAATCCATGCACTTCTTACGATAAAAAACTGACAGGGGTTCGTCATGGCGATCTGTTCCGCTGTCTTCACCCACACTGACTCGTCTAAACTGAGCCATGAGGCGCTTCAGCTTTGCTTTTCCACTCGCAGTCTGGACCACGTCTGGGTTGTTGAAGAACTGAGCGGTACATTCTGCTACAGCTGTACTGGGAGGCAACTCCGATAGCAGGGTCAGCAAAGTGTCCATAATTTTGTCTTCGGCTCCAAGTAAGGAGCTGAAAGGAACTAGTCTTGTGGTCCACAGCAGGGTCTCCCAACAGATTGAATGGATAGTCGTGGTTTCCTTAAGAAACACAGTTATGGAAAAAAAAAGAATGAAAATTTTAAACAAAAAATCAAACAAGGTCAAATGTAGCGAATACTTTAAAGAAAGATAAAACTTCATTCTGTCAACCGACGAACTCTCCACCGGAAGCTTTGCACATGAAAATAGGAAACGTTGTGCTTTTGTGCCCCCCCCCCCAAATTTCTCTGCCGAAAAAAAATACGGGTGCGCAGGGAAGGAGGTTAAAAAAACTCCTTTCTTCCTCCCAAGCTCCCTCGTTCCCTTCCCGCTCTTCCTGATCGCCTCGTGCAGTTCGTAAAATGCCTGAGGAGCAGGTTGGTACAAGGTTTGTATAAAGCTGGAGTCATGTGTCGCAATTTTCTGTAGATAACGGACTTTGAAGTCTAAACTTTTCAATAATTATTCCACGAGCGCGCGTTGGAATAATATATTTAACAATACCTTATTTAACAATGCCTTATTTAACAATCATTCCTCTCGCGCTTGTTGGATATGAGATGATAGCCAACGAGGCGCGTAGCGCCTCGTTGGCTATAATCATCTCATATCCAACAAGCGAGAGTGGAATAAATGTTTTATTAAAAAAACGCCCCCAAGATATTAGACAAATCTTCTCGACTTTATTTTGTGAGAAGAAACCGGATTTAACAATGTACAGAAATTAGATTATGGTATATTGGCTCATATACCATAATGGCTGAGCCAATAAAAACTCTTGAATTGCATTATCCAATGATCCAGTTTTTAATAAAACTGGTTAGCCTGCATGGATATGCTCACCTCCTCACTGCCTGTGGATTGGCTCCTCAGCTGTCTGAATTTCCTGGATGATTTGCTCATCTTATCCCGTACGTACAATAACCACATAATCGCACAGAAATCACGAAAACTGCACAGCACATCTCCAATCGAAGATGGCGGTTTGGGATCAGTTTTCCCTTGTTTTTCACTGGAGGCTTCTTCGGGCTTTCTATTCCCTAAAAGACAACGTTGTTGGCTCTCTTCAATAAAGAAAATCCCTCAAAATCCAGTCAAAGTATCGATAATTTAAGAAAAATTTTATTCGCTGGATACCATTTCAAATGGATAGCCATTTTATTCACCAACCGGGCACTGTGGGGTTGATTCCCTTCAATTGGGTGCGGAACACTGCCTCATGTAGCCCTGATGTTTTTCGCAAAACTGTTCATTACAATATGAACTTGTCTTTTTAAAGCACAGTCTAACAAAGCTACTGAATGTAACACACACAGAATATCACCACAGTCACCTTTTTTCTTCGGAGACACATAATTAGGTTTGTCCGCTTCACTCTCACGGAAACTAAATCCCCGATCAGCATATCCGGACAGTGAAGAAGGTACTGGAAAGTCTGCATCTGTTCTTATCACGTTGCACCAGTTCTCTGTTGTGCTGACAAGCTGTTCTGTGTACCACCTCACGCATGGAACCAAACAGTTAGAAGCTTTGAGCAGAAGAAAGATCTTCTGCACAACGTTGGCCATCTCGGAGCGGAGTCTTTCTTCTTTTTCTGCTAAAGGTGACAATGGTTCCTGACGGAAATATAGTAACAGTTAAAACAACGAAATTTTATTAATTGTAAGAAAACCACGGTTGGCCTGTCTAAAAGGAGAAGAAGAAGAAAAGAAAACAATCACAACAAAACCACAGACGTCCCAACCTCACGTCTCGAGATCAATTCATGAAAGCGTGACGCGTTGTTTGACGCGGTGTTAAGTTACGCGTGGAACCATTTAGAATTCAAACGTGTCATATGGGGAACAAAATATGGTCCATTTATTGCAATGAATATTCCGAAAAATGAACAGTTTTAAGATTAATACAACGTTCTCACTTCTTGTGTGTCCGTTGTGGTTTTGGGCGATTTCTGCCGTTTTAGGCTTGCTTTGTCATCATCGTTATTCCTGTTATAAGACGAAGTCTCTTGCTCGGTAAAGCATAAGATTTCCACATTACAATTTATTTATTCCATATGTGTGTCTGTCTCACCATGGAAAATCTCCCTCCCGTTTCATAAACTCAACTCAATTGCGCCGTATTGAATCAACATCAACCATTTACATCTATTACCTTCTTGGTGTTCACTGGTTGTGGACAGAAAGATGGCGGATAGGGCAGATAAAACTCCTCGGGTACAATCCACTCAAAGAGTGACGTGGCATTCTTCAACTGGCTCACCAAACTAGTGAAAATTAACGGCACTAAGTCAAGATTCGCAACGACTCCTGCCTCAAAAACCCGAGACACTTCTTTAACAGTTTTGTCATCGGCCTCTGTTCCGACGTCAACCGCACCATGCTTAGTTGACCTTTGACCTTTTGAAGAAAGAAGAGCTGATCTTTCTTCAGCCAACCTATCTGCTTGCTCCTCAATGGGTGAAGTAGTTTGCTTAAACGCAGGATTCAGTCTCGAGAATGCAATGGCGTGAGTTGTAATCTCTTTCGGTGGTTGAGGGAACATACGTTCACTTTGTTGATGTGTCTCGGTTTCGGGTAATCCGGAATTCACCGCGTGGCTTGCGAAAGACAACAACAATGCGTTTTTCCAGTCACCCAAGTTCTTAGCCAACCAGGCTGCTTCTGATATTAGCCCTGACACAAGCAACAGTTCTACAGTACTGTTGGCACTCCAAAGTTCGTGAACACCCTGGTCTCGCACTGCTTGTGCTACCTTGGCTCTATCGAGCCCAATACGTTCCTTTACTTGAGAACGGTCCTCAAAATCTTCATTCTTGTTTTCATCGGACGGAAATTCGTGAAATGGTGGAAGATCAATCGGTTGGTAAGGAGGATAAACATAGAGAGAAAGATTTGAAAAATAAGCCGACATGAACCTTGCAAGTGTTTGCACCACTTTAATACCCCTGCTATCCGCGACTCGTGCAAAAGGATAGTTTTGAAGAAGAACCTCCATGTGATGATTTGCATTCGGATGACCACTGCTCCCTTGAAAAGATCTTGTCGCGTTGGGAAGCAGCGAAAAGTGTGCGCTGTTTTCAAATTCATCGCATGAAAGCAACGGTTCGATCAATGAGTAGACAAGATCAAGCGCAGACCTAAGATCGTATTGCTGAAGCTGAATATAAAGAATCGTCAAAAGAGTCTTGGAGTCCTGTTCAGTCACATTGCCACTTGGGCTTCCTGTGGTATACAGCAATGCGGGGGAATTGAGACTTTCAGTGCTTTCCTTAAAGGGAGACCCGTACTTACGGGACTTTTCGGGATTATACTCCTGGCTTGTCCTTGCCTGTACTCCTGACCGCCGTCTTGAAAACAGAGAATCTTGAGGTCCTTCTTGTGATAAGTTTTGGAAGCTGCCACCTAGATAAGCGCTGACATCTAAAGAAAACGAAGCAAAAGCTCATTGCATTGAGAAAGAAGCAGCAGGAAGATTTTCGAAATAATATACCCATCAATTGAACCTGACTGTGGGAATTTAGAGGGTATCCACGACCTTCGAGAACAATAACACTTTCTATTTTGTTTTTGGTAATGTATCAATGGCTCAGCTGGAAGATTAGGGTATGTTCGAGACTTCGATGCCTCGCGCGTGTCCGCTTGAAAGAAAGAATAAAGATTAAAAAAAAAAAAACCAACAACAACAACTCAACTCTGACCTTCGACACTTTCTGCCTTTGCAGCAGTATCACTTGGTATTCTAACACCCAGCAGCTGCAGTTTTTCTTGAATCTTACACAGCAGCTCGACCATTTGTGTCTCAACACTTCCTTTGGTTCCTCCTTCTTGCGCCGAGAACAACGAAGTCCGCCGTTTTTGCATCTTCTTGCACACGTCCGAGGTAAATGCATACAACGAAAGCCACGACCCACTGAGATGCGTTTGACACACAGTTTGCTGTTGCACGTCTCTAATGGAAATACTGCCATCATTTTCTGTCAGAGCGGTACTTTCTTTTGATTCAGCTGCTCCATCTAAATCATCCCTCCTCTTCGAATCGGATCCGGGATGAACCTGACTTTCTTGAGCAGATCGATTGCTAGGCAAGTCCCATACTTTTCCATTACTTGACGAATAAGATACATTAAGTAATCGCTCGGCTAACCTCAACACTCTTATGGAGTTGGTAACTCTGTTAAATACGCTTGAGCCTGTAACGAGTAGAATTTCTTTTACAATGCCATGAGTGAGATGAAAAGCCCAGGAGAATATGTTCCTGTGTGTAGCGTCCCACTGGAAAACCTCCAATACTGTCCGAAAATACAGCAACGCCTTAGAAAGTTGGGAGTCGAAAACTGGGCTGGGACTTCGCCGTTTTGATAAATCACCAATAGAAGATGAAAGCGCTCTAGCCGAGCTATGCGTTTGTGGAACGCTGTCAGCATTTCGAAGAAGAAATTGAAAGAATTTTGTCACTACATTGACTGTAAGGTCCATTGCAGGGCCAACTTCTTGTTTCCAGTTCATCCCACACGCAGCCCCTAGCGAGAGAGCAATGATGGAAAGGCTCTGGGCATGAGAGATAGCGTCCAGGCTTCCCGGTGTGTATTCTGGAAGGGAGCTCTCGAGTTCTGGGTCTTGGATTCCAAAGAAACTGATACCATGATCCCCAGTTGCAAGGCCATAACCTAAACAACCAAAACAAAAAAACAATTGATTGCCGAAAGTAATTCCTCGATGAAATGGTTTTGCTCTACTTCAAGTGTTTTGTTGAACACAGTTTGAAATTGTTTTCTTAATAGAAGTTGATGCAAACAATATTTGTCGGCTTCAAATTTAGCGCAATGGAAATATAAGTTAGGGATAATTGAGCCCCACTGAGAGTTCAGTTTTCAGTTTTCGGTCGCTGGTTTTCAAACAGTTAAACATTGTTTAACTAAACATGTTTTTCTGTTGTGGATGAGGCGTGAGTCTCTCTTTGAATGTTTTTAATAATCAATACCCGCCCTCCAAATTTACTCTTACAGTCAGGTAAAAATATCTAAGTCTGCGTAACTGACCTGGGACAACAGAAGATGACCCAGAAGAGTTATTTTCACTTGGAACATCTGATAAAAGATCTGTAGAAGCCATTCCACGGGCCACGTTCACTTCTGACTGCAGGATGCTGATTCTACTCATAGATGACACGCGGGACAAAGTGCCGGGTTGAAGCTCTACGTCAATATCTGGAACTAGTCTGGGACGTGAGAGACACGGAGAAAGTTGGCAAAATTTTACACTCCGTTATCAAATAATAAAACTAATTATGATGACATAAAATAAGAAAAACGTTAGAAAATAATAAGAGGTATCGTAAATTTTGAGTTAGGTGGTCGATACAATACAGAAAAACTCGAATCTCTTTTCGTCTCGTCATCAACGTGGGCACCTGAACCTACAAAATTTCTTCTCAGTTGGTAACGCCCAGTTATATTCTGGAAGGCACAGGTGTAAATGTTTTCACGCTCGCTTTTCTGCAATTTAATTCATTTCTGTTCACCTACGAAGATCATTACGTCACTTGTACTACTTGTACACACCTTGTGATGTCTCTCATGAAGCTTGTCATAATGCCAAGGTAACTGGCCACAGACGGCAACTGCATCACTGTTACCAGGTAACCATCTGAGCTCAAAACAACTGGCAGGTGAGGGTGAACAGACACAGAGAACCTCTGGGAGAGGGGGTCTTTTCCAGAGGTACAGGACTCAGCGGAGTCTGAATGAAAACCATTTGCAGACTTCCTGCATAACGAGAAAAATTGTATCTGCAAGGTGAGCTTTAGTTACATTGTGAAAGTTTGCTGGATGATGCACTGCCACTCCTAATACGACGCTGCAAGTTCACGCTCAAAGTACACAAACGCCTCAAACGAAGATCACGTGAAATTCCGACACATGGGCAAATGCAAAAACCGCTGACTACTAGAGAGGGCTGATGCTCTTTGTTGTTGCATTATTTTAACTGCATTATAACCAACTAGTGTAGGGAAACTCGAGGGGACACTTACTGAAATGTTATCTTGGGATGCAGAGGAAGAAACAGAGCAGGGCCTGTGTGCAAAGAACCACCTTCGGCACAAATCTCCAGAGGTTCTCCAAGCTTAGTTAAAACAGCAACAGAACCACGGCGAGTGATACACAGTACCAGAAGACTGTCTCTGGTCCAAGCCATGTCTGCAATCCACCAAGATCTGAAAATTGAAATTTAGGCTTATTTTTCATTGCTGACATTTCATTTGCACCCTCTACTCAGTAAATTTTAATTGGTATCAAAAAATATGAAAACTTAAAAAAAGAAAAACAACAAAAACAAATGTTTGTCATGTTTGGTAATATATGTCAGTTTATGGTAATGAAAGCCCCTAGAGGTACCTCTCATCCTGAAATCCCACAATGCAACCATAACACATGCTCAATATCCATATCTTCATTACAAACTATTGATAATAATCTGTCAATTTTGAAACTTGCTTTAAAACGAATCTTATAGAGCTTTTTTTTGTGACGAGCTTTCAAAACAAAAATTTTTTTTTTTTAAAATACAAAATTTGAAATCCAATTTTAAAACTTACTTCCCAACTGGAGAGTGACCATTAGCATTCATTTTGGCTCCACAGCCCTTCAGGTCAGCAATGACAGCCACTGCAGTCTGTGACAGCGAGTAAAACATGACTCTGTTGTGTGCAGCAAACTTCTGATTCATTGCCAACACCATGACCTGGCCATCTGGGGATAACCTTGTAATGTAGGCCTTTCTGCTCTTCACGACTCGTTCAGCAGGTGTCAGATTGTACAAGGAGTGTTTGAAGGTGTGCCATGTGGCAGAGAAGGGGGTATTAAGACCTGCAAGAGTTATTATTATATACTGAATTTCAAGAAATAAATGAAATGAATAATACTTTGGTCTGCCAACGATAATGAGTAACCAAAAGATCCTCTCAGGTGAATTTCAAAAAGAATTAAGAACCCAAATGAATTTGTCTTGCCCCTAACATGAGGCTTTACACCTCCATTAGTAGTATTGCACAACTAGTATGAGCCAGATGAATAAAGGGGCTAAGTTTCTAAAAGAAACTGCTGCATCGGCGATAGTAACAAGGTAATTTTCGTTTTATTGCTTGAGTTGGTAATATAAATTGATCCTCATAAAGAGTTTCAAAGCTGACATTTCGAGCATAGTCCTTTGTCAAAGCTCTGACAAAGGGGGGCTAACACTCTGACAAAGGGCTAATACTTGAAGCATAAGCTTTGAAACTGACTTTATTTTGATCAATTTACATTATCAACTCATACGTATGATGCACGATCCTCGCAGTAGAGAGCGCTATTTATGCAATAGCGAAAATCAGACCTGAAAAAAATGACGCTCTCTACTGCGAGGATCGTGCATCATACGTATCGACAACCGCAGTTGAAAATATATGAACTTCATATATTCATTGTATCTGATTATCAACTCAGTTGATAAAACCAAAATTATCTAGAGTATCAGCCAGGGTTGTCATCAGAAAATTTAAACTGTGTACTGGTGCTAAATTGAATTATGCTGCCTTACATAACAAACAAAGCAATGAGAGACTGGCACCACACTCAGGATTAATGCATTGACAGTGTCTGACTCACTTCCAGAAACTTGTATAAGCTCTGATCTACAGTTACCTTCTTCAATTTGAGGGTTAGATACCCCTTCCTGCAAGGTGTAGCTTTTCTCTGGCCAAAGCAAGTGAAGTGTTGTGACATGGATTCGGTCACCCATGTTGAAAACCCAAGAGAGTGAAAAAGATGTACCACAAACCTTTAACAAAATCAAAGGAGAACAATTGAAAACTGTATGCACTTATTCCTCAGATGAGTTCAGGTGAGAAAACGTAAACAAGGTTGTGACTTAAATTTGTACATATTTTTGAGAAACGCTTTTTTTTCTGACAGCACTAAAGGAGAACTCCGTCCATGTTTACACTTTATAAAGCCCTACCTAAACAATCCTGGGGCTGAAAGAGTTCTTGAAAATAATTGTTAGGCAAACCCTCAACTGCATCTTGGGTTTACATAACTATCCTGAATTCTTTGGATATATCAACAAAGTTGAAATCATGGTAAATTGGCCACTGTAACAATTACAAAAGCTGACGTTTCGAGCTTTAGCCCTTCTTAGGAGGGCTAACGCTGAATTCTCCCTGTCCCTATCATATTCAGGTGAGGCAACATAAAACTCTAAAACTGCGTAAATCTTATTCATGCTTCCACATACATGGTAATACTAAGGACAATGGAGATGAGCATTATCAAGCAAGTGTGTTGGCTGTTTATGATTATTATTAAGGGTTCTACACTAACAGTAGCCAACTAGCCGCAGACTAGTAGAAATTCAGTTTTGGCTGGTGGTTTTCAATTTCAACTCGCCAGTTTGGCAAGAAACAAACTGAAATTGTTGTAACATCTAAGTTGTCACTAGCCACTTGGCTAGAAAGTTGAAAAGTCAGTGTCGAGCTCTGTTATTCAGTTTTGACTGAAATTAGGTGTTTTTTTTTTTTAAACATTTACTGGGCAGCAGCATGGCCTTAATAATTGGGCTAATATTGTGTAGCTTTAATTTGAAGGTCTATGATTTGAAACCTTAACTCATTTCAACTGATATATTGTCCTTTGGCCTCATATTGTTCAACTTCTTTACTGTAAATAGCATATAGGGTGGGATTTTTAACAATTTATATTCTGCAAAAGTTAAAGCAAAACCATTGAATGTCTGAGGCAAAACAACCAGAGCTACACAGTAGAATATTTAAGAATAAACACCGATTCAAATTTTCAGATCTGGGTGCTTTTCCAAAAATGAGTCATCTACTGTTAGTATCA